CTGTTTGGTTCTGAAAGGTTCTCTGAAGTGGTCCTGCTAGTTTGGGAGCAGTGGCTGGTTCCTTTCACTAACAGGTCAAGCTGCAACTGATGTTTTTGATCACTCACTTTTTTGGATAATCATTGCCAGATTCTCCAAAGTGGTCAAATATGTTGCTGATTTCACCATGTAACAGCTGTGTTGCTCTACTGTCTTTTATGCTCTGGCAGCTCAGTCCTGCCCCCAACAAGCTAAGATAGTGCAGCTGTGTTCCCTGCTTCCATTTTTGTGAGTTAAAAAGAGCTTTCTACCCCACCTCCACTCTGGGTGGTCTGCTGAACATTTCACCCCACACTCACCTGGCAGAGATGAATAATGCTCTAGGTTTATGGCAAAAAATTTTGCTTGAGAGGGGTGCAATCTACCCACCATATGCATTAGACTATACCATGAGGGAAGGAGATCTGTCATACTTACCTGGTGGTTTTGCAGATTCAGCTGAATTTGGTCAGGCCCAATGGGGTGAAGGGAAGCTGTGTTTGCAGGTAGGCTGTATTCCCGTAGTAGTATGGGTCCAGGATGTCACAGAAACTAGCTCAATTTGTTTTGCAGTTTTCTTCTTTCCCAACCAGAAAAGAGGAAACAAGATGAGAGAGATAAAAAGGGAGAAAGTGACAGTCCCAGCTGTATAGGGACTTTCCCAGCTATTATGTGCACTTAAAAGGTATTTTAAGGGTCAGTCATTGAAATTTATGTGCACCCTCTGTGTTCGTGGTAATTTAATTGGCTAAAAAATAAGAATTACCTGATTCTTGCATATATATTGTGGATCTCAGGGTTTCTGCATCTTTCAGCTATCAGCCATCTTGCACTCCCTGAACACAGCATTTTCAAAGGAAGAAGTATAAATCATTAAAAAACATATGGAGAAATGTTCAACATCCTTTGCCATAAAGGAAATGTAAATAAATACCACGTTAAGGTTCTGCTCCCTCCTGTTAGACTAGATATCATCAAGAATACAAACAACAACAAATGTTGGTTAGGATGTAGGGAAAAGGGAACCCTCAAATACTGCACACACCATACATAGTGGTTGCAAACTAGTACAACCACTATGGGAAACATTTTGAAAGTTCTTCAGAAAGCTAAGAATAGAACAGCCTTATGATCCAGCAATTCCACTCCTAGGGATATAACCAAAGGAATGTAAGTCAGGTTACAACAAAAGCACCTGCACAGACATGTTTATTACAGCATTATTCACAAGACCTAAGGTGTGGAAACAGCCAAGATGAACCACTAATGATGACTGGATTAAGAAAATGTGGAATCTATTTATGATGAATTTATATTCAGCCATAAAGAAGAATGACATTTTGTAATTTACAGGTAAATGGATGGAACTGGAGAGCATCATCTTAAGTGAAGAAGGCCAAAAGCTGCATATTTTCTCTCATATGTGGAATTTAGGACTAATACAACCACAGCAATATTGTGAAAAACAGGTTACACTAAGGGGAGGGTCACACACAAGACACACAAGAGAAGGAAATAAAGGTGAGTATGGTTGATATACTCTCTACATAAGAATTAATATAGAATTCTTAAACCATTCAAAAGAATCATAAGAAAGGGACTAAGTTAGGATGAAGAAATATAGAGGAGATAAAACAATTTGGGTTATAATGCATATAAGCATTTAAGTGCCACAAGAAACTCCTGGTATAGCACTACATTTACATACATATATATTTGTATATGCATATGTTTGTGTGTATTACAGTACTACGTTTTGAACTCAGGGCATACACCTTGAGTCATTCTGTGAGCCCTTTTGTTGAAGGGTTTATCTGAGATAGGATCTTGCAAAGTATTTGCTCAGGCTGGCTTTGAAACACAATTCTCCCGATCTCTGCCTTCTGAGTAACTATTATTACAGGCATGAACCACTGGTATCAGGATTCTGTGTAGATTTCTTAAATAAGCAAAATGTCATTTTTATTTTTTCTTTTACAAAATCTGAGAACAGCAAGGCAGAACAAATTCTGCCTGGGAACGATAAGAGTGAGAGAGGGGAGAAGATGAGGAAAAGGTGTATGAGGTTGAATAAGGTGCAAATATGGTGTACACATGTATCTAAATGGAAAAAATGAAAAAAGGAACAGGGGGAGAGGGGAACAGAGCAAAATAGTGGAAAGGGTGAATTAAAGTATGATATACTTAATATATTTTAAGAATTTTGTAACTGTTACAATATATCCCTACCCAGTAAAACAATAAAAAAGAACCTTCTCAAAGGGAAAGAAAAGCTGGGTTTTGTGGCCTATGCCTGTCATCCCATCAGTGGAAATTGTAAAGTAGAACTGTGGTCCACACAAGTCTAGGCAAAAATGGTGACCGTATCTCTAAAATATCTAGAGCACAAAGGGCTGGAGGATTGACTCAAGTGTCAGAGTGTCTGCCTAGCAAGAATGAAGCCGTGAGTTCAAACACTACTTCTGCCAAAAATAAAGAGAAGAAAAGAGAGAACTTCCAAGATGTCAGAGATGAGTACTGAGTTCTGGCCCTGACATGTATAATAAATTCAAGAGCTTATATTATAAAGACAATTTTCTTCCTTTAGTTCACTGTGGACTACATTAAGTTGAGAATTCAAGTTTTAAATTTTTGATTCATTACAATGTACTACAGATTGCCTTAATCAATATATCAGACTACATCTTTCCAAGCACTCTTTTGGATATGTGTGTTGTAGTTGTAAACATACAGTTAAGAAAGTTAAATTGAATGCATTTCTCATATTAAAATTCATACTATTTATAATATGTAGCTGATTTTAAATGTCTGGATTCTCACTTTTTAAAATAAAAACTCTTTTGATAGAAATCTCTTCACCTGGTCTTTCACAAAATTATCAAAAACCGTATTATGACAATGAAAGGTAAGTTCTGTGGCACCTAACTTGCTAGTGTAGCATCCAAGAGTTAAAGAAAAGAACACTAGTAGAGGGATATGGTGGCTGAGTTGGATCTTCTAGCAATGGATCCCAAAGGTACATAAATTTGAACAACTGTTTGTGTACCAATCTATGTTCATAAGACTTAAGCAATCTGGAGGAAGAAACACAGCACATAATAGCACATAACTTTTGTACAATAGTGTGGAAAGTTATAACCTAGCAAAGGTCTCAAGTTAATTGTTAAGGTTGGGGAGTTTCAAGTCTTGAAAATCCCACACCTTTGTACTGTCCTTGTTTGCTAGTCCAGCCAGAAATTGTCAGAGTACTTTACAGATAGTAAAGTAAAGTTAAAAGTAAAGTGAAGTAAAAAGAATTCTTTCTGATTTCAAAATGAACAATCCACAAATTTCTTTCAGGAATTGATGGATAATACTACAGAATTTCAAAATCCAGGGAGCAAACACATATGTATTATTGTGAGTCAATATAACTTTATTTTTATGTGTGAAGTTCATAGACCATGGGTACCAGATATCTGGTAAGAATATTATTCTATGAGTATGTGTGTGAGGGTCTATTTTTTACTGATATTTTCATTTGACATAGTGGACTGAGTAAAGCATATTGTGCTCCTGTATTGGGCCATTTCCATTGCTGCACAAAACACCTGAATCTGAGTGGGTTATAAAGAAAAGATATTTATTTAATTGACACGTTTGCATGCAAAATCCAAACATCATAGTTTCAGCTATGATGAGGACCTAATGGCCAATGAGATTACAGTGGTGTGAACACATGTGAGAGGGAGAACACATGACACAAATGAAAGCCAGATACCAAGAGGGGTGGGCAGTGTTCGACTTGTATGGAAAACATAGAATAGGATACCACCAATGAAACTTCACTTGGACACTCTGTACAAGAGCATATGTTAAACCTGCTATTAACTAATTTTAAAATACTGCAATATCTAATGACTCACGTTTTTCTCCATTTTACAGTTTATTACTCAGATTTCATTCTATGAATAGAAACAAATATAAGTATTTTGCAGACATAATTGAGTATGGGATGCCGATTTGATTCTTAACTGCAGGATGAACACAAAATGCAGCATATTATCAAAGAGACAGCAACAAAATGGAGGCTTTACAGCACTGAAGATTAGGGATGGGAAGGGATTAGTGAAATATATTCAGATTTAATGTAGTGAAAATTAATGACAATGAATGGAAGTGTGTAACAACCAAACCAGATGGAAAGTAGAGTTTCCTCACCCAGCATTAAATTATATTGATAGCAGCTATATGTACAGCTCAGTGGTCGAGGCCTTGCATAGTGAGCATGAAGTCCAGTGTTTGATACCCAGTAGTTTAAGAAAAAAGGATAATAACAGAGGGAGAGTTTGGAGGAGAAACACAGTAGCTTAAAAACTAGCATAAGCACAAGGTGTGTGGTGTTGAAGGACAATGTGGTTAAAGCAGATAATTGAAGAAATCCATTTCAGCTGATACTACAATAAGGCAACCTTTACTTGCCCACTATGGCTTAAAAATTTTAAAAACTAGCATCTGAATTATCTATGAAGAATTTCTACTCATAAGTAGAAAGGTCCACGTAAATCAGAATTTCTGGAAATGAAAACTAGTTATCTGTATTTTACTTCTCAAGGTGATTCCAATAAAAGACAAATTTAGTAATAGTGATACTCTCAGACATTGCCTAGTTAAGTTGGTACTAGATGTGGAATTTGAAGGAAACTACACTTAAGCTGAGAAAGCAGATTCAAATTTGAATTTTATAGAAAGAGTTTTGCATTTCACCTGGAGGTCAGGGTCTTTGCTCAGAAACTACAATGGTTGCACAGGTATATTGGCAATTGTGATTTTTCTGTTTATGTCCAATGTGGGCATAGAAGAAACAATACTTAGATCCATAAAATGGATAAAAATGAAAGTTTTCAAACTAGACATATAATATGGCTAAAGAGAAAATGTGTAGTTTTGGATTATGGGATTTTCCAACATACTCTAGAAAAAGAATGAAAGTGAAAATGAGATTATATTGAACTGCTATGCAGTCTCCAGAGGGCACTTTGAATGTCCCTGTTCCTTAGGCTGTAGATGAAGGGATTTAGCATAGGGGTGACCACAGTGTATATCACTGAGGCCACTACTGCCTTCCTAGGGGAAGATGGTACAGCTGAACCAAGGTACTCTCCAGAAGCTGATCCATAAAATAAACAAACAACTGACAGCTGAGACCCACAGGTGGAAAAGGCTTTGTATTTACCACCTGCTGATGTGTTCCTAAGAATAGATGAAATAATTTTATAGTAAGAGAAAAGGATCCCAGAGATTGGGAGAAAACCAAATACAGCACCAACAAAATACATGAATAAGTAATTTGTGAATGAGTCAGAACAGGTAAGATTTAGGAGTTGAGAAGGGTCACAGAAGAAATTACCAATTTCCACATCCTTAAAAAAGGGAAATTGTAACACAATCAAATTGTGCAGCTGGGACTTCACAAGGCTAAACAGAAATGACACCAAAACTAAGAAGACACAGAAGTGGGAGTTCATAATAACTGGGTAATGCAGGGGGTGACATATAGCCACAAACCTGTCATAGGCCATCACAGTCAGCAGCATATCATCCATACATACAAAAAAGAGAAAAAGAGACATCCGAGTCAGGCAGCCCACATAGGAGATGACTCTGCTGTGAGATTGGATATCTGTAAGCATCTTTGGGACTGTGGAGGAGATGAAACAGATGTCAGCAAAGGACAGGTTTGAGAGGAAAAAGTGCACGGGTGTGTGGAGGTGAGAGTCAGAGCTGACAACCAGGATGATGAGCAGGTTTCCAAGCACTGTGACAAGGTACATAAGGAGGAAAAGTCCATAGAGAATGGGCTGCAGTTCTGGATACTCTGAGAGTCCCAGGAGATGGAATTTTGGGAAACTTGTTAGATTTGTGGATTCTGTATGTCTTGAACACCTTTAAAAAAAAGAAAAAGCTTGAGAAACTTAAGAGATGTTTAATAATTTGTGCATATTCTGAATTTAATAATTTAGAAATGATATATTCACAAGAGGCCATATATTTCAATATGTTTTTCAGGATATTTTCCTCGTTTAATTTTGTTGCAGCATCTAGCTGTGTAGCCCAGGACTAAACATTATGAATTTCCTTCCTCACAGTCAACATGCCTGGCTTCTCCATTTTGAAAAATCCACTCTTTCTATTACTGTTTATATTTTAACTTGTTGCATTCACCTGCTTGTATCACTTAACTATAGTGAAAAAACAGTCGCAACAATTCTATGATTTCATAAATCACAGTCTCTTATTTGACAAAGAATTGGAAATAATATGTAGTCTTTCACAGTAATGAACCCTCATTCTTAATAAATTAAGAATTTAATTACCTAAAAATTTGAATTCTTGTATCTCCCTCCAAATGATCCCATTGTTCCAAAGGAAAATATACTCAGGAATTCGTAGAGATTTCCTCTCAATGTTTCTGTCAGTACTGATTTATGCAATAATAAATTGTTTTCTTTAAAAAATTATCTCAAAAGTAATTAAAGATCATGTAAGTAGTGTGCAACACAGTACCTTTTGCTAATGAAATCACATACTTTACTTGGACCTACATTTTTAAATGGGATTATGACATTGCATATTCACTTCAAATACACTAAGTGATATGTAGCAGTGAATGAAGTAAGGTTATCATTTATTTATCAGGTTATTATTATGACAATACTTTGAAAATTTAAGCCTATCTCCATACTCCAAGAGTGAAACTTTCTCAGTAATCTGAGGTTCAAGCTACTTTTTGATTTCCAAAATTTTAATGCATTTCCCATTTCACTCTTAGTTAACTATATTTGGTGTACCAATAAAACCTTGGAATGTATAAAGTATGTTCTTTATTCTTGAGATATACAATCAAGTCATCTTCCAGATGGTCTAGACATATCCTTAAATATAAAACACTGAGTAACTTAATCTTGTACAGAGAATGGTAGTTCTTTGTGGCTACAGTACATGAGAAAGTGGATTGATAAGGGTCTCATACATTTAACAATTAGTCTCTTATCATTGACATGCTTAGTGTAGACAATGTATGTAAATCTTACCATCTCTCAGTGCTCATACAATTTACAGGAAATGACAGAATAACATGGATCTCCAATACCTGCATGACATCTTAGAGATATGTAGAATTTAATTAATGTTTGGCCCAAATAACTCTTCTCAAATAAATAATTTCATCATTATTGAAATATCTACTTTCTCCATGAATACAATTGCCTATGTGCCCTGGACCTTGGAGATATAAAATTTAAATGTGTCTGACCTAAAAACTAAGGTAGGTAAACCTATGCCAGTTTGCTCTTTAATCCCCACAAAAAATTTTGCCACGGTCTGTAAAGAAATTAATGATATATATATCATATTACATGAAAATATAGGGTTCATGTATTTAATATATAGACATAAACAAGTGGCTATTATTTTATCCTGATTTCTAAGGGACATTCCTGCAAGGAATGAAAGTTCAGATAGGAAACCATGAATGAGTTGAAGGAATCTGATTTTTGTAAGTTTGGTGATTGAATCATTGGGTGAATTCATGTTTAACAGAATATTTTTGATGCTTCTTCTGTGCCATGCAAGAATAGCTCTGGGGGAGTAGAAACGGAAAGTAGTCATGCTTTACCAAAAAAACATGACATCCATTTGTAGTGACTAAAATAGAATTTCCAAAGCATGAGTAGGAATATAGTAACTTCAGATTACACAATGTGTTAGTTGAAGGGTATGAAAGTTAACCTTATCTTTAATAATCATAAAAATATCTCAATTCTATTTTCCTTTTCACCACATTGGATTCTTCCGTTTTTTGTTTATTTCTTAATCAGTGCAGTAGTACAATCAACACAGATGAAAAAGTTATGTCTCAGGAATGCTAACAACTTGCCTATATCTTAGAAATAACAGATACTGCTTACGTCATAAAAATAATAAGTGGAGGAGGCAAAATTCAAAAATAAATTGTCATACTCTGTGCCTGATGCATAAAACATTTTGTTATTTCTCAGCCAGTAGAACATTTTAAGTTGAAGACAGAAGGTCTTTACCACAGATGTATGTGAGGAACACTTTTAAACACTTTTCAGGTTCCTGAGTAGCAATTAAATCAAAACCTGGTATTATGCCTTTTAAGACAGTGTGGATAATAAGAATGATTAAGGGTGTGGATAGCAGCAAGGGTATGATAGAATAATGTGCTTAATAATGTGTCCATCCCTTTTTGTGCTCTATGGCCAGTCTTCCATACTTGGTGCAGGCAGCTTCACCTATCGTAATCATTTGAGATAAAAAAGTCACAAAGTGAAGAATATAGCAAAGGTTCTATTCTTGAATTGACATGGAAGTGAAATGACAGGTTGGGGTTATTGACAAACTGTCAGGATTCTCTTGTTTTGAAACTTTGTAACCAGACAGCTCAATTTAATCATTACTTCATTCTTTTCTATGTAACAGCCTAGTACAGACTATAAAAATAATTTGCTCTTTTATTTTCTAAAAGTAATTGCACTGTTTTTCCTAACAACTAAAAAAGATGGAGCACATGAATGGGAAAAAAGGTGCTATATAGAATATAGTTCTGTGTCTTGCACATAGAGAGCTCACAGTATAGTTCAGAATTTTATGGTTACTGTCATCCTTTCTTCATCTTTGTTCTTTTTTCATGCTCCTTTAGGAGTGCATAGTGAACAGTTTAAAGGAACACATTTTCTGCTATTTTGGATGAAATGTCTAAAGGGAGTTCTATCACTATGGATTGAACGCAAATTTTGAAGTTTTCTTGTATCCTCACTAAAAGAACATAATCTTCATAAGTCTTTACATGATATTTTTCAGACTGATATCTTCCCATCTGACTTCCCAAACTGTCATGTTTGTATCCATGATAAAGAAACATTATTTTCAATAGTGCTTGCCTCATGTTTGGGTTTTCTTTTCACTTACTTGTTTATCCTGCTTCTCTGTTGGGCCATGACCAAGGACTGTGGATCCAAAGATATCCCCATGGCTGATATCCAAGGAAGACTAAGACTCTGTACTAAGTATTGATAGTAATAAATTATGAGATACAGTGTCAGAGAGAAGCTTCCTGGTAAAAACATTTATGGAGTGGTAGGCACACTCATTTGTCCTCAATAGTGGTGCATTCAAAATGAAGCCCTGGAAACACAAGCTTGGGGGAACAACACACAGGCTTATAATGAGTCAAATTGGCCCAACTTATGCCAATGTCTAGGGACTTACCAACACTATCAAAGAAAGAAGACAAGTGAGAATTGCATATTTAAAATTTTTGGATATTCCTATACTCATTAGGACAATTCTGTGTGCTATCTTTTTTCTGCCTTTTTTAAAAGAGTCATCAAAATTTATTTTGATTTTTGTTGTGATAAATATATACAAATTATTCTTCAACTAAATAAATGCACAATTCAATGGCTGTACATTACATTCACATGATTGGGAAACCATCACCATCCATCTTCCCAAACTGAAAATGCCCATGCATTTGAAATACCCTCCATTATTTCCACCCCACAAATCTTCCAAAACCATTTGAAGAATGATGATGAATTGAAGCTATTATACTACTAATGCAACAAAATTAAGAAATCAGTTTTTATGTATCTACATGTTAAGTTTTGCTGCACTTTTCCACGTACATTCTGAGTGGACGGCACTGGTCTTGGTGTCTCCACAGGACACTTTCTTCATTTCCCTGTTTCTCAGGCTGTACATTAGGAGATTTAAGATAGTGGCAACCAAAATTTACATGACTGAGTCACCACAACCTCTCTAGAATCTATTATCTCACTCAAATTTTGGTTCTCTTTCAAAAATCATTGAAGACATAACTATTATTCTTGGTATGAGTGGATATCAAATTTTAATAAATATGGTTTACTAAATATGAATAATCATAGGCCACAGATGTGTCATTTGGGCTACAGGAATCATTAAGTATTTGGGTCTCACTTGTTGGTTATTTGCATATTATATGGATCAGCTATTGGAAATTTCCTTGGTTCAGCCATATCATCTTTCCCTGGAAGGATGTGGAAGCCTCACTCATGTGCACTGTGGTTATCCTCATGCTAAATCCCTCCATCTACAGTCTGAGGAACATGGAAATTAGAAGGGTCCTGTGGAGACTACAAAAGTACAATCTAATCTCATTTCTGTTCCAACATTTTCCTAATATGTGTTTGAAAAAAAATCTACCACATATGCCTATAATTTATATCTTTGTGGTCATATTATTTGCCTACTTTGCTGGTTTTCATTTCACTCCATGTTCCATATGTGTATAATCTGCCCTTTATTATGTCATCATTGGATTTAGTGAATGATCTGGGATTCTTTTATTTTCTGAAACATCATGATTGAATCCAACATACATATGCTTCAAGTATATTTTCCTTAAAAATACATGTAAGATACCAATTTAGGTAGGTAATTTCCTGGAGTTGACACACTGTTCCTATGTTTTGCTTTTATTGGAATCACCTGAGGTTAAAATACTGATGACTGCGTCTATTGACCTGTCTGGGGTAAGGAATTTTAAAATGCTATAGAAGGTTCAGATGTTAGTTTCTAAAGGTTTTATATTGAATCAGGTAAATTACAGTCAAATTGTGTATTAAGGAAATGTTTTTCTTCATATATCTTCTTTGAATACCTACACTTTGTCATCATGCTAGTTTTTAAGCTATTGGGTTTCTCTTCCCATCTCACCATTCTATAATTATATTTTCTTCTTATGAGGACCCAAGTTCTCATGCTTGTAAGCAAGTGCTTTATCACATTGTTAGCCACTAAAATTATCTTTTGATACTTAGTGGGGATATTTGAAATCACTATTTTACAAATAATTAAGTTGTTACATATTTTCACCCATGGTTATCCCGTTTCACTATAATTAAAATTCAGTATATTTCTCTACTCTTTTCAAGTCCCTAAACTCTTAATGTTTTCAAGGCTCCCTTTCATATGCTGTAAGTTATCTGAATTTGAAATATTTCAAATTGTGTTGAATAAATTGATGCATTTTAAACAAATGTCCTTGCTTAGAGTTTCCAAGTGATGTTTCATTGGTAGAATCATATTTGTGCTTTACTGTAATAGAAAAAGACTGGTGTTCTTTGATATCTGGCTTGTTGGTCATTTATCCTTTCCCTCTAACTTTTATTTATACCACAGTAATTGCATTGGTTATGAGGTACTCACCATAGCTGACAAAATAATGTTAGGACTTTCAGGCTCCAAAACTATGAATTAAATAACCATCTGTTCTTTATAACACACCCAGCCTCAGGTGATGTTTGGAATGCAAAATGGTGTAACACAGGAGAAGTTGCTTTACTCAGTCTGCCAATTCAAATGTTAATCTCAGCAGACACAATTAAACCCTCATAGACACATATTCAGAGAATTATATTTTTATTAAGACCTGTGCTTCCACGGTACATTAAATTCATGCATAAAATTATCCACCACACCACCTCACAAAAGTACTGGGCTAAGTTTCATAGACATTTAGCCATCATTTCTTTTTCTTCTGCAATTCTGGACTTCTATATCATAATCCATAATCTCATGAAAGCAGGATTAGTTGGTTCTATTGTTTTGTTAGTAAGAAGAATGGGATTATTTTCTATCAGCTGAAGAGTTAGAGAATAAAATTCAGAATTTGATTAGTTTTACATCTGACTTGTAGCCAGATAGCACTAAGATTAGGTCTGATGAAGCACATTTTTCATCAAGTCCCAGCCCTGTTGGGCAGGGCCAAAATGCACTGAGAGTAGCCTCTAGAAGATGCTTCTTTGTTCCATGTGTTTGCTCCAGGTGAAACTGGGAGCTCTAAGCCCAAGAAGTATGGATCATGTTATTTCCCTTAGGCTCCACACTCCCAAAAAGTGATAATCTGCTAGGAGGAGACTGAAACCATTGTGTATGACAACCAAAGTAACTGAGCACCTCAGTTCTCACTCTTCTGTTCAGAAGTCAGTTGTATGTTTACTTGCCCCATTCACTGACATATCTGGGGAGTATCCCTAGACTTTGATACTTGATGCCTCTTATAGCATATACTGGAGGGCTTGTGTAAAAAGGGAACCTGTCAGACCTACAGATTTCAAAGCTCCTTGTGTAGGGCAGCATTTCCTATTAAATAAGGAAGGCAATCTCCAAAGGTGAAAGCAGCCTCAAAGGAGATGACTGACCATTGGCCAGTACTGAGATCAGGACACATATATCTATAATTCCTCTATCTATGTAGTGCTGTGGATCAAGCCCAGTGCCCAGAATATGTGGGCAAATGTTTTGCTACTGAGCTATAGTGTCAATCTAGTGGTGACAAACTGAACTCCTTCCCTGATACTACATTGTCCTGCTTGAAAATTAAAATACTTCAACTGAAAGACTACAGGTACAATTTATTGATGCTATTGACAAAGGGATTATTTTAATGTACTCTATGTAACCCTGTTCATTGTTGGTTTATAGAACAGCTACTGACTTTTCTATGTTTATTTAAATTACTTCTACTTTGCTAAAATGTTTACCAGATCTGAGAATTTTTTAATGTAAATTTTAGGGTCTTTAAAGTATAGGCTCCTATCATCTGCAAATATCAATAACTTGACTTCTTCATTCCTTATTTAAATCCCTATTAATTTTCTCTTTCCTTTCTGTCCCTTTAGGAATTCAAGCACTTTATTGAGTGAAAGTTGAAAGAATGGAGCCCTGCACTATATTGAATAAGAGTGGAATGAGTTAACTCCCTTTTCTATTTCCTGATTTTAGGGGAAATGGTTTCAGAAGTTGTTTATTTAGTTTAATGGTAGCTATAGATTATTTATAGGTAGGCTTTATTATATTCAGCTATGTTCTTTCTATTCCCAGTTTCATCAGAGCTTTTGCCATGAAGGGATGTTGAATTTCAAAGGCATGTTCAGCATGTGATTTTACCTTTTATTCTGTTTGCTGTATTATATTTCTTGATTCACGTATGCTAAAACATTCTTTTCAATAACTGAAGTGAAAATAACTTGATCATGTTGTCCAATGACCCATGACAGCTCATGTCTTACTGACCTAACTGGGGCAACTGGAGATGCAGAAAGGACAAAAGATAGAAAACAAACATGCAGAAAGTTGGAGTCAGGTGTCTGTGTGCCTGGATGGAGACACACAGTAGCCTCATACTTCTTTTTCACTTCTCTTCTCTTGTTTTACTTTGCTTCTTTTCTTTATTCTTTAAAACCTTTCATCTTTTCTATTCTTTAAAGCCTTTCTTCTTTTCTATTCTTTAAAGTCTCTGTCCTTAGACTCACACTATCACATGTTTTCTTTAATCTCCAGCATAACTCCTAAAATCTTGGTCCTTAGAATTGCAGACACACAACAGCAGCCATACCTGCAGCAACAGCAGCCTTGGCAGCATCATCAGCGGCTGCCAACCTTGCAAGCAGCCAACAACCAATCAACCTAATCAATCCATGTCTTCCTTTAGCGAGTCTGTCATATACAATGGCAAACAAGGAGGTGGAGTAACAGTTCATGGGGAGGAGCATGACACTGAAACAGGACAAATCTGCAATTGCTATTCTCTAAACATAAACATCTTAGGAAAAGCACCTGTGCTGCATTTTGCCCTCACCCTCTTCTGTGGCTGGGGCTGTGCCAAACTCAGCCTGCAGATTATTTGACATAGCTGTGCTTATGTGAAGTTCTCATAGACTTCTCCTAATATGCTCCTCACAATGGTGTATGACATACTTTTGTATGTAGCTTAATTTAATTTGAAGCATTTTATTGACAATTTTTGTGTTCATGTCTATAAAGGCAAATGGTCTATAATTTCCTTTTTTGCTTGTGCCATCCCTTATGTGTATCATGCCAGTACTTGCTTTATAGAATGAATTTGGTAGTGTTCATTCCTGTGTACTTCATGGGATAGTTTGAGGAGCATTGGTGTTAAATCCTTCTTAAATAATTGATAAAATTCAATACTGTATCTTTCTAGTCCTTGGTTCCCCTTTGTTGGGAAACTATTATTTCTTTAATCACATTGCCCATTATATATATCTCTGAGGGGATGATAGCCTCTTAGGTCAATTTAAGTAGCTCATATATGTCTAGAAATGGATCACTTTCTTCAAGATTTTGCAGCTTATTAGAATGTAAATTTCCAATGTATTTTCTGATGATATCATATATTTCCTATGGTATTTGTTGTGATATTGCTCTTTTTTTCTCTAGTTTTGTTAATTTGGCTCTTCTTCCCTTTTCTTTTGGTTTGTTTGCCTATGGGTTTTCCATCTTCTCTTATTTTTTCAAGGAACCAGTTTTATGATTCATTGATTTTTAATTTTTTGTGCCTTCCATTGCATTCATTTCTATCCTTATCTTTATAATTTCCTTGGTTCTACATAATTTGGACTTGTCTTCTTTTATTTTAAGAGCTTGAAGCACATTATTTAGTGATTTATTTGAGATATTTCTGTTTTTTGTAAGGCAAGGAAGGAAGCAAATATGGTTGATGAACTCTCTATATAAGAATAAATATAGAACTTTTAAACATGTTGGAAACACCATAAAGAAGGGATGAAGGTGGAATTAATAAAAATAGAGCACATAAAACAATTTTGGCAGTAATGCATATATACATGGCAGAGACACAAGAAAACTCCCTGTGTAAATAACTTAAACAAGAAAAATGCCATTTTTTATTTACAAAATAGAAGAACTGTATGGCAGAACAGGTCCTGACACTGGGGGAAGGATGTTGGTAACAGTGGAAGGAGGGTGGAGGAAGGGAAAGGTTGGAGGAGGTAAATATGATACAAATGTTGTGTAAACATGTATGTAAATTAAAAAATCATACCTGTTGAAACTATTCCAGTAATGGGGTGAGGGAAAGATAATGGAGAAGGGTGGAGGGAGTCAATTAAGGTATATGTTTGATGCATTGTAAGCAGTTTTGTAAATAACACAATGTGCCCCACCCAGCACAACAATAAAAAAGAATCCATCTTAATGGGAAAAAAGCTGTGAGTGTTGGCTTGTGCCTGTCATTCTAACATTAGTGGGAAGTATAAAGTATGAGTACTGTAATCCAGGGAAGTCTAGGCAAAAATGGAAGACCCTATCTCCAAAATAACTATAGCACAAAGGGCTGGAGATATGGCTCAAGTGGTAGAGTGCATGCTTATCAAGCATGAAGTCCCCAGTTCAAATCCTAGTACTTCCAAGAAAAAATAAAAGAGAACTTCAAAGTCTTCAGAGATAGGTACTGAGTTCTGTCCCACACACATATATTAAATTTGAGAGCTTATATTGTAAGTCCAATTTTCTGCTTTTATGTCCATTGTGGAATGTATTAAGTTGAGAATTAAAATTAAAATTTTTGACTCATAAAAATGCACTACAGTTTACAATAATCAATATATCAAACTACATCTTTTCAAGCATCCTTTTGGGTAAGAGTGTTTTAGGCATAAACATACAGGTGACTAGAATACAGTTTTCATATTAAAAGTCACACTCTTTATAAGATCTAGTTGTATTTAAATGTTGGATGCTGATCTTTAAAAAATAAACTTATTATAGCAATGAAAGAATCTTTTTTGACAGGAATCTTTTTGGTCTCTCACAGATTTATCAATAACCATTACATGAACATGAACAATAAGTACTGTGGCACCTAACTTGCTAGTGCAGCATCTGAGCATTAGAGAAAAGACTGAGAGTTGGAGCAACATGGTGGCTGAGTTAGAACCTATAGCAATGGATTCCATGGTCACATGAATTTGAACAGGTATTTGTGCACAAATCTACCTTCAGAAGTCCTAAGGAATATGGGTTAAAGAACACTGCACACAATTATAGAACAATAATAAGGACAGCTGTAATCTACCAAAGATCTTAAGTTAGTACTTAATTAGTGGGTTGTTTGGGGGGGGTCTTTAAAATCCCTCACCTGTCTACTGTCTGTGTTTGCTGGACCAGCCAGAACTTGACAGAGTACTTAACAGATAAAGTTATGTATTCTTCCTGATATCAAAAAAACAATCCACAAATTTCTTTTAGAAGTTTATGGATAATACTATAGAAGGTTGAGCATTCTAGGAAGCAAAAGAAATATTGCCTATGTATCTGTAACTTTGCTATGTATTATTGTGACACAGTATGACAGATTTCGTTATGTGTGAAGTTCATAGGAAATGGGTGCCAGATATTTGGTTCCAGATATTATTGTGGGACTATGCCTGTAAAGCTCTATTTTCTACTAGATTATCATTTGAAATGGTACACTGAGTGAAGCAGACTATCCTCCTATATTAAACCATTTCCACTGTGACACAGAACACCTAAAGATGAGTGGGTTATAAAGAAAATATAAATAAAGTTATTTAACTCACACTTTTCTAGACTGAAAATCCAAACATCATGGTTTTAGCTATGTTGACAACATCATGTTAAATGAGATTAAAGTGGTGTGAACACATGTGAGAGGGGAGAACACATGACAAAAGCCAAAGCCAGATACCAAGGAGGAGACAGCATTTGTCCTTTATAGAAAACATGGAATAGGATACCACCAATGAAACTTCACATAGACATTCAATATATTTTAACCTCCTTTAAAGCACATTTTGAAATATTGCAATATCTTATGACTCATAATGTTTTCAAAACTAATTATTTTGTAAAGATAATTTCAAAATAGCAACAACATCATCAAGAAGATGGTAATAAAATGGAGACTGTATATCACTGAATGTTTTAGGAATGGGAAGCAAGTAGTGAAATATAACTAACTTTATGCAGTGAAAGTCAATGACCATGAGTTAATGTAACAAAAAAATGAGATGGAAAGTAGAATATCCCATTCAGCATCAAAATATAATTATAGTGACTGCATTTGTAGCTCAGGGGTAGAGTCCTCTCATAGTGAGCATGAAGCCCTGGGTTTGATACACAGTAATGTAAGAAAAAATATATTTTAGAGGGAGTGGTTGGAGGAGAAACACAGTATTTTAAATGCTAGCATCAGGATAACTTGTGTGGTGCTGAAGGACAATGGGGTTAAAGAAGATAATTGAAGGAATTCATTTCACCTGATACCAACAAGGCAACCCTTATTACCCATCATGTCTTGAAACTTTGAGAAACTAGCATCTGAACCATTTCTGGAGGAGTGTAAAATCCTCACATTTAGTTCCACATGAATCAGAATTTCTGGAGATGAGATCCAGTTGTCTGTATTTTTAACCTCCCAAGGTGATTTGAATAAAATTCAAATTTAGGAATAGTGATATAATTCCTGGAGATTACCTACATAAATAGATATTGCCCATGTAATTTTAAAGGAAAATTTATTTAAGCTATGAAACACATTTGAATTTGAAATAGACTTTACCATTTATCCTTGAGATCAGAGTCATTGCTTAGAAACAACAGTGACTGCACAGGTGTATTGGATCCAGTTGTGATGATTTTGAAGGTAAATAATTCCAGAAAACTCACCAAATTCAATGTGGACATAAAATAAACAATATTGATGTTACAGAAAATGGAAAGAAATGACATTTATCCGAGTTAACTCATGATATGACTAAGGAGAAATTTATAGGTTTGGATTGTGTGTTTTGCTAACCTATACTAGGAAAAGAATAGAAGAGAAAATGAGGTTATGTTGATCTTCTGTGCACTCTCCAGAGGGCACTTTGAATGTCCCTATTCCTTAGGCTGTAGATGAAGGGATTTAGCATAGGGGTGACCATAGTGTACATAACAGAGGATACCACTGCTTTCCTAGGGGAAGATGACACAGCTGAACCAAGATACTCACCAATAGCTGTTCCATAAAATAAACAAACAACTAAGAGATGAGACTCACAGGTGGAAAAAGCTTTACTTTTACCACCTGATGATGGGATTCTATTAATAGAGGATATAATTTTATAGTAAGAGAAAAGGATGGCTGAGATTGGGAGGAAACCAAATATGACACCAGCAAAATACATGACTATGTTATTTGTGAAGGAGTCAGAACAGGTAAGACTCAAGAGTTGAGAAGGGTCACAGAAGAAATTACCAATTTCCACATCCTTAAAGTATAGGAAATGTAAGGCAATCAAATTGTGAAGCTGGGAGTCCACAATGCTAAACAGAAATGATACCAAAACTAAGAAGACACAGAAGTGGGAGTTCATGATAACTGGGTAATGCAGGGGTTGACAGATGGCCACAAACCGATCATAGGCCATCACAGTCAAAAGCATATCCTCCATACATCCAAAAAAGAGGAAAAGAGACATCTGAGTCAGGCAGCCCACATAAGAGATGACTCTGCTGTGAGTTTGGATATCTGTAATCATCTTTGGGACTGTTGTGGAGATGAAACACATGTCAGCCAAGGATATGTTGGAGAGGAAGAAGTACATGGGGGAGTGGAGTTGGGAGTCTGACCTGATAATCAGGATGATGAGCAGGTTCCCAAGCACTGTGATCAGGTACATGAAGAGGAAAAGGCCAAACAGGATGGGCTGCAGGTCTGAATCCTCTGAGAGTCCCATGAGATGGAATTCTGGGAAACTTGTTAGATTTGTCGGTTCTGTATTTTTTGGACACCTTTTTTAAAAAAATAAAGTTTGGGAAAATTAAACCAAGAGGCATCTAACAATCTGAATACACAATGAATTCAATTATTCAGAAATAATATATTCACACACGAGAGCATACATTTCAACGTTTCTAAGGATTTTATGCTTATTTGATTTGCTGACAGAGTATAACTATGTAGACCAGCATGACCTATATCTTATGAACATCCTTCCTCAGCTCTGTGTTGCAGGGATTATTACCCATCATGCCTGATTTCACAATTTTAATACATTCATTCTTAGTAGAACTATTTAATTTTTAACTTCTGTGTCATTTACCTGCATGAGTCCATACAAACTTACGTGATTATCAGCCATGATGAAACATTAGAGTAAGATGTCCATGATCTCACAGCCTATTTTTGAAGATAAATTGGAAATAAGAAGGAGCCTTCCTCACTAGTGAAATACTCATGCTCAAATTGTTAACAAATACTTAAATAGGTTTTATGTTAGTCTAACACAATGTTACAAATTCCTTTGTCTCTGTGTGCTTATAAACTGCACATTAGAACCATGACTGTATTATCTGCACATTAAAATTGATAATTCATAAATAGTAAACATCATTAATTCTCAGTTATCTTTTGGGGGCCTGATCATTCTTTGATTTTCTGATTTCTAGCTTTTGTGGCTCTGAGTACTCTGTCAAATTTTAATTTTCTTTTAAAACTCATTAAATTACTGATGATGGATTAGGAGAGATATACACGTAACTTGAATTCAACTTACACTCTATATACATGTGTCAAAGCATCATTTAACACCAATTATATACAAAGTTTATGTTTATGTGTCAGTGAAAAATGAATGAAATTATACCTGCATATATATTTATTTATATACTCATGGATATATCCCTATTTATATACGTTCTATTCCTGCATTTTGTTGACATTAAATTTGGAGAAATTTGCTTTCATTAAATATTCATGTTGTTCATACAAAAAGTCACCCACAAATATAAAATGTACCTGTAATTGATTAAAACATAACAAAGGCTGGGGTGGAGTTCAGTGGTAGAGCACTTGCCTAGCACATGGAAGGACTTGGATATTAACCCCATATCTATAAATATGAATAAATTAAATGATAAGAACTTATTTAAATATTTTTATTTTATGCAGAATTAGTTTTAACCAATCCCAGAGAATCTTAGTTAACAATCCTATGTAGAAAACAGGTCTTTGGGTTTTTTTGTTGTTGTTTCTTCAGTTTTAAATTATTTTGTTCTATGATCCATAATGTCCAGCTAAGATTACTTTTTTTCATCATCATAAATGTTCATATGAATAACTGACAATTTTAGGCCCAGGGAAAATCCCATAGTCTGGGTTTCTGTACCAACCTTCTGTGTCTGTGCATAAGGTATAGGTTTTCTTTTTGGAGGCACTGTGGTTTGAACTCAGGTCCTCATGTTTGTTACAGAGGAGCACTACCTCTTCAATCTCTTGGCCAGCCCAAGAATACATAGTTCAGGTTAATTCTTATTGATACATGGATTGAAATTCTACTATTTCAGCTACTTAAAAGCAAATCGGATTCATTACATGTCAGTACACTCTGTCATTTTATAGGAGGAAACGTGTAATGAAAGTATATAGAGAAAAACATTGAGTGGATATTTTCCTCATATTTAAAATAGATGTAATAATTAACTATAAAGGGATGTTGTAAGTATATATTTTAAATGTTTTTGAAGTTGTGGGGGCTAGGTCATAAGTTTTATTTACCAATATATACATCTTTGGCTATTTCAAAGTGTGCAGATACCCTGATCTCTGACCCAAAGCAATTTTATCCTAATAACTATGTGATGTTTGTAATGGATTTTTCTAACACTTTTGTAAAAAACATAGCCTTAAATTATTTACTGGCAGTCAGAAAAATAGTTCTTCCATGTTGCCTATTATTGCTATCCATATATAGAATACATGTGTTAAAAATGAAATTTAAACACATTTCCTTCACAATGAGTTTCTATAAAGAGTTCAATTATACCTACAAAATTTGAATTCTTATATTTCCACATGATCTCACTGGTCTGAAGGCAACTATATTTCATAATTTGTAGGGATTTCTTGTCAATTTTTCTGTCAGTATTGAAAGATGTAATGTTTTCTTTAAAACATAACCTCAAAGTACTTAAAGTAGTCTGAAATACAATACCCATTGCTCATAAAATCTAAGCATATTTGGACATACAGTTTTAAATGCACCTCTTAAAATGCTTTAAATGATATACACTATTGAATGAAGCAAGCCTATCATTTATTTATTGATTTCTTATTATGACAATACTTTCAAAACCTTAAGCCTCTCTATATAGTAGAAAAGTGAGAAATTCTAGATATTATGAGAATAAAAACTAGCATTGGAATTCCAAGGTTTTGATGCATTTTCAGTTTCATTGTTATTAAACTGTTTGGTATGTAAGAAATACATGCTGTAGATCATACTAAATGAACATATAGGGTCCATTTGTCAAAGACCTTGCCACAAACAAATGGCTATCTTATTTTATCCTTATTTCCATGTGACATTCCTGAAAGGAATGAATGTTGAGACAGGAAAGAATCAAGAGATTTGAGCGAAAATTATTTTAGCCAATTTTCATGACTGAAGCAGTGGGTGATTTCACATTTAACAGAATACATTTGATCCTTCCTCTGTGCCAACCAAAGCATATCTCTGGGGCACAAGAAATAGAAAGTAGTCATTCTTCACCAAAATCATAGGATATCCATCTACAGAGACTAAAATAGAATGTGCATGCATAAACAGGAATAGAATAACTTTAGATTATACAACATGTTAGTTTAAAGATATGCAACATAACCATATCATTAATAATAATAATAACAATATTTCAACTTTTTAAAATCTTCAACAAATTAGGAGCTCCTAAATTCTGCTTATTCCTTATTCAGTTTGGTGGTATAATCTACACAGAGGAAAATGTTGAGTCTCAGAGACACTAGCAACCTGCCTACATTATAGAATCAGTGGAGGAGACAAGATTCCACATTAAATTGTTATACTCTGTGTCTGATATGTAAATTGTTTTTTTGTTTACCAGTGAGTAAAAAGTTGTGAACTAAAGATTAGAGATCTTTACCAATGTATATCTGAGGGGCATTTTTAAGCACTTTCCAGTTTCCTCAGTAGGAATTCAATAAAAACCTGATATTGTATCTTTTTGAGAGTAAGTGTGCTGATTAAAAGAACAAATAATGACATGAATAAGTACAAGGGTATGATGCAGTAAGGGCATGAGAGAAAAATGTGCTGAATTATAATGTGCCCATCTCTTTCTGTGGTCTACAAATATTCTTCCTTATTGAGGTCAGCAGCTTCACTGACCCATCTCCTCTGAGACGTAAGGAAGCCACAAATAGAAGAATATAGTGAGCAAAGGGTCTCTTCATGACTTGGCGTGGAATTGAAATGACAGGATGGATTGTCAGGGATATCCGACCTGGATTCTTGTGAAATGATACTCTATCTGTAACCAGACAGCCCAATTCAAATGGCACTTCATTCTTTTCTAACTAATAACCTCATAAAGTTTATAAACATTTTCTCTTCATTTTTCTAAAAGTAATAACAATGTTGTTCCTAACAAATAAAGGAAGTGGAAACACATGAAATGGAAAAACAAAAATGCTATACAGAGTATAGTTCTGTGCCTACCATGCAGGAAGCCCGCAATAACAGTTCAAGATTTTATGGTTACTTTTATCCATATCTTCATCCTTATTCTTACCATCACACTCCTTTTGGAGTGCTTAGGAAATAGGTTAAAGGGACACATTTTGTGCTATTGTGGAAGAGATGTGTATACAGAGTTCAATCACCACAGGTCGAAAGCAAATTTTGAGTAAGTTTTCTGGGATGCACACCAAAACCAAGAGCATAAGGTGGTGTTTTCATACTGATATCCTTCCATCTGGCTGCCCAAACTCTCATGTTTGTCCCCATGCAAAGAAACATTATTTTCAAGAGTGCTACCCACAAGTTTGGGTTTACTTTGTCCTTACTTGTTTATGTTACTTCCCTGCTGGGCCATGACCAAGGTCTGTCAATCCAAAGACATCAGCATGGCTGGTATCCAATGAAGGCTAACACTGTGTCCTCAGGATCGACGGGAATAAAGTAGCAGATACAGTGTTAGATAGAAGCTTCCTGATGAAAACATTCATGGAGTAGTAAACACACTTGTGGTGTCTTCAGTAGTGGAGTCTTCAACTGAAGGACTGGAAACACAGGCTAATATATGACCATGGCGGATGAAATCACAGGCTTGCAGTTAGACAAGTTGATCCATCCTGCCCCAACCTCCTGGGACTTCCCACCACTACTGAAGGAAGAAGGCAAAGGATTATTGTATGTTCATAAATTTTGGATATGTCTATACTCCATAGTACAATTCTATGTACTATTTTTTTATTTCTATCTGTTTAAGAAGAATCTTCTATACTTTATTTTTATTTTCATTGTGATAAAAATGTATAAGAAAAGTATCATCCAACCAAATAAGTATACACATTCAAACAATTGTGAAACTATCACATCCATGTATTTAAAATACTCTATTTTCTCTCCCTCCCAAACCCTTAAACTTATTTGAAGTATGATGATGAATTGATGCTTTTGGACTACTAATGCAATCAAATTAAGAAGGGAGTTTTTTCTGTATCTAGATGCTAAATTTTGGTACAATAGTCAATCTATATTCCAAAGAATGGCACTGATCCTGAGATGAAACGGCTCTCAAGTGTTACCTCTATGGGGCACATTTAATTCCCACTTCTCAGACTGTACATTAAGAAAGTCTGCGTAGGGGTAATCATCATGTGCATGACTGAGGCACTACAAACTTTCTATGATCTAAGATTTCACTCAAATTGTAGGTGTCTTTCAAAAATCACTAAAAATACAACTATTATTCTTGATGTTGGTGGGTATCAAATTTTGAT